CTCTCCTGCCCGGGCTGGCTTTGAACCGTGATCCTCAGATCTCAGCCTCCTGAGTAGCTAGGATTACAGGCGTGAGCCACCAGCGCCCGGCTTACAGCCTTAAAAGTATTTTATATATACATGTGTGTACACACACACACACACACACACCTACCTTTAGGCTAGAGGCATGGGCTAAGCAGTAGAGCACCTGCCTAACAAACACCAGATCCTGAATTCCACCTCTAAGCTATACATTCTGTGCATAACGATGATGCATGGCTAACTGGTTCAGTGCCAGAGGTGCCCCTGTGCCCAAAGCAGTTCCTACCCCCTGCGGAACCTGGACACAAATGAACTAGTACCCATGGACATGTGTGCCACCAGTGGAGGCTCCTGGCTGGACTCACCTTGTTTGCAAGAAACAGCCCAGGATTTTTCCAGAGAGATTGGTGGATGTGGGTGAGGAAGGAGGTGCAGAGTGACTAGTTCTTTTCCAGGGAGAAGAAGCTGCTCGTGAGCTCCGAGGACTATGGCCGAGACCTCACGGGTGTGCAGAACCTGAGGAAGAAGCACAAACGCCTGGAGGCGGAACTGGCTGCCCACGAGCCCGCCATCCAGGTGCGGATGGTGCCTTCCTCACGGGCAGAGGGGTGGAAGAGGGGCCAGCTATGGACATAGCTGGGGAATGGCAGGTTAGGGCCCTTCCTGGAAGCACTGCTCACTGGTGACTGTTGCTGCATGTCAGGGCGTCCTGGACACAGGGAAGAAGCTGTCTGATGACAACACCATCGGGCAGGAGGAGATCCAGCAGCGCCTGGCCCAGTTCGTGGAGCACTGGAAAGAGCTGAAGCAGCTGGCAGCAGCACGGTGAGCCTCTGTCCAGAGAGCTCTTGGGTGTGGAGGACAAGGCCTGGGTCTTCTGCCGGCTCCTTGGCCCCTTCCAGGGCATACACGAACACTTGCTCCCTCCAGTAGGCCTCGGGTATGGACCCAGCTGTGGCTGCGGTTTCCCGCGTGAGGAGCATCTGTCTGCTGCCCCATAAACATGAGCAGCCGTCTACATGCCCCACCTTTGTGAGCACCAAGCGCAATTGCCGACAGCATTGTGACTGGTGTGTTTTTCTATTTTGGGGAAATAGGGGTCAGCGGCTAGAGGAATCCCTGGAATATCAGCAGTTTGTAGCCAATGTGGAAGAGGAAGAAGCCTGGATCAATGAGAAAATGACCCTGGTGGCCAGCGAGGATTACGGAGACACGCTTGCTGCTATCCAGGTCAGGAAAAGTGAGGACGATGCCACAAACACAATGCTTCTGCCCACAGTCCTGATGCGTGGAAGCTGAAATCCTGATGTGCAGGCTGTGCAAGACCCCTTTCCTGATTCTCGAACTTTCTGGTGGCAGTGCTCCAGTCTCTGCCTCTTTCTATGTGGCTCTCTTCCTCTGGGTCTATTTAACATTCTCTGCTGTGTCCAGATTACCCTTTTTTTAGGAGGACGGGGAAGTCTATCGTGGGGCTTGAACTCAGAGACAGCAAGGCTGTCTCTGAGCTCTTCTGCTCAAGTCTAGGGCTCTACCACTTTGAGCCACAGCGTCACTTCCAGTTTTCTGGTAGTTAGAGATATGCATCTCATGGACTTTCCTGCCCGCCTGGCTGGCTTCCAGATGAAATGCTTAGGTCTCAGCCTCCTGAGTAGCCAGAATTACAGATGTGAACAACCGGCGCTCGGGTTTTGGGGTTTTTTCGTTTTTAGTATAGGTTCTGGGCTTGAGCTCGACCTGGGTGCAGTCCCTGAGCATATTTTGTACTCAAGGCTAGTGTTCTACCACTTGAACCATAGTTCCACTT